AAAAAAGTACCTCAATCAGTGCTGACGCTCAACCATTTTGGTCCTTGCAGAAGGACAACATAGCAGCAACAAGCAAGAAATAGAACTTCAGACACACAAGCAAAAGCTTCAGATAACCCTCTTCATATATTTAAGGCACATGGAAGGTTTTCCGAGGTTGAAGAGCTAGCTTTGCCAGCACTATATCCTATGCTAGCCTCATGCCAGATGAGTATAATACAGTTAAAACTGCTATATAACACTAAATGGTTGCATGCCATCAGCCACACTCTCTAAGGACAGTCTAAGGGTGTGATCAGATTGTGAAAGAGATGCACACACAGGAAACAGTTGTTTTGCCAGGAACAATCTTCTTTAAAGTGACCCTCCCATCCATTGGGGAACCTGTCCTTCTACAGGACCAAAAAGTAGTAGTCCTTCTAAAGGACCAAAATGGTTGAGCGTCAGCACTGATTGAGGTTGGGTTGCACTGCTGTTCACAATACACTGTGTGATGAACACATTAAAAGTAGTAAGATACAACAATCTATTTAAAAATCCTACTAATGCAACCAGTCACTAAGGAATAGTTTGCCTGAAGGGAAAGGTCTTCATCTGCTTGCAGAAGGACAATCAAGAGGGGGACAGCCTAGTCTCCTGTGGAAGAGAGTTCCAGAGTCTGGGAGCAGCAACAGAGAAGGCCCTCTCCTTTGTCCCGTATGAAGATGGTGAAACCAAGAGAGAGGGCTCTCCTGATGATCTTAACAATCAAGCTTGCTCAGAAAGGGAGATGCAGTCTTTGAGACAGCTTGGGTCCAAGCCAGTTTATTTATTTATTTTGCAGATTTATAGCTTAGAACCAACACTTTGAATTCTGTTTGGAAACTGATCTATAGTCAGTGGAGCTGCTGTAACAGGGGGGTTGTGTGATCCCTCTGACCAGCCCTACTTATCAGTCTGGCTGCTGAGTTTTGGACCCACTGACGTTTCCTGACACTTTCCATAGGCAGCCCCAGGTAGTGTGAGTTACAGTAATTTCACCAGGATGTAACTAAGGTGTGTGTCACTGTGACCAGATCAGACCTTTCAAGCAGCTGGAGCACTAATTTTAATTGTACAAATGAACTCCTACCTACTGTTGAAACTTGAGACTCAGACACAAATCCAGGAGCACACCCAAGCTTTGCACCTTGAATTTTCAAGGAGAGTGTAACCCCATCCAGTACTGGCTGCACCCATTCACAAAGTTTTAACTTTATTGTAAATAACACTGTTGTGGATTAAAACAATTGACAGATGAATTAATGGAGAGGTATTTTACAACCTTGTGAAATTTCTCAGAGGGGAAAATCTCAAAAAGAGGAATCTCACTGCAAGATGAACAGAATTCTTCCCCTGGCTTCTCACTAAGGGCAAGAAGCTGTGAGATTCACAACCTTCTATCTAACCATGGTACCACATATCTAAGAGGACCTTGATCTCTTACCTGAATATTTGTGACAAATGAAAAACATGGTGTGGTCTTTCTGAAGGCTGAAAGAACTCACAAAACAGCACACCAGATTTTTTGTTTGTTTGTTTGTCACAGGGCCTGTCCAGACTGGCTGTTTTGGGTATGGAGTGGGGTGGGCTTTAAAGAGTCTGTAAGGTCAGGAGAAGGAGCAATGTGCCATTATTACATGTCCTACACTCTGGAATAATTTAAAACAGATCCTCCTCCTCCTCTATATCACTGGTTCTTAACCTTGGGTTACTCAGGAGTTTTGGACTGCAACTCCCAGAAGCCTTCACCACCAGCTGTCCTGACTGGGGTTTCTGGGAGTTGAAGTTCAAAAGCATCCGAGTAACAAACGTTAAGAACCACTGCTCTATATGACTACCTTTCAAGTATCTGTTAATGGTGACTTTCAGATGGCCAGATATTTAGACATTTGAAGGAGTGACTCTCCCTATTTATATATCTACATCATCCTTAAGATCTGGTAGGGAGACTGTGCCCCACCATTGAGGACAGACAGTATGTAGAGACACAAGAGCATTCTCACAGCTGTAAAATTCGTTCCATTTAGAGGCTCATGATTTCATTTCAGAACTAAATTTTTAAAAAATGATTCTTCACTAAAATATTTGGGGTTTTAAGGACTTTGGCTACAGTGGCTGCAGAGTGTTTTTGCAGCACATACAGTTTCAATAGCTTAAAGTGTTTACATTGTTTCGTGTGTATGAAACAGCTGTACATTTTTCTAAATATTTTCTATACATATCCGACAGCTAAATTGTTTTGTATTAGTCTTGATGTACCTTGTCCTGGGATCTTACAATAGAGAGAATTTTAAATCAATCAATCAATCAATCAATCAATCAATCAATCAACCAATCAATCAATCTTCATAACATCACTGAATACAGGGCATTCTCATGGTAGGTACATCACATTATTAACTATATTTCAGCTCAACTAATTTTGAATATATTAGCAATAATTATGCAGGACCAAACAAATTACAATCTGCTGAGTTGATATGTTGGAAGCCCATGTTAAAATTTAATTCCCAGCTGAAATCTGTTAATAAAGCTTTATTTTTGAAAATTCTTACATGAAAATAATTTCCACGAAGGAAATTATGTACACATTGCACAAATACTCCTTGTTCTGAGATTATTAAAACTGGCTTTTTAAAAATCCAGCAGACAAGTGTGGGTACATTCTTCTTTCATTTCCTTTGAGATCAAGAATTCTAGAAGGATATGGTCACTCTCGTCTAGAGTTCCCCTTACTGCCATTTCTCCCACCAAGTCATATCTGTTGGTCAAATCAAGTCAAGGATAGCAAATCTTCCAGTTTCTTTCTCCACTTTTTGTAGGAAAAAATTATCAGCCACACAAACCAGTAATTTCTTGGAAGAGCTATACTTGGAAGAATTTGCCTCCCAACATATATTGGGATAATTGAAATCTCCCATCTCTACTACATCGTGTCTCTTTGAAAACCCTGTAATTTGTTTTTCAGAAGTTTCATCTGCTTCCTCTCTCTGATTGGGTGGTTGGTAGTAGACTCCAATTACCAAGTTTCTCTTTTTTTTGCCCCAAATAATTGATCCAGATGCTCTCGATGGAACAGTCACTCTCCTCCTCCTGTATGTCTGTACAGGAATGTGTATTTTTACATATACTGCAACCCCACCACCCTTTTGATTCTCTCTGTTCTTTTTGATCCGTTTATATCCCTCAATTGCTGTATTCCAGTCATTCCAGCTCTTCATGCTGTGGACAAAGAGATTCTTCCCAGTCCTTGTTAAATTCAAGCCATCTCTTGATAGCAGTCCTTCTTACAGGAAATTTAGCCCATGGTACCAAAAAAACCCAATCCTTCTTGTTGACACCACCTTTGTAGCTAGTCATTCACTTAGAGGATCTTCCTTTCTCTTTCAATTCCTCTTCTGAGCATCAGTAGGATGAAAGGAAAAAAAACTATCTGGGCCCCAAAGTGCTTGAATTTCCTTCCCAGAGCTTCAAAGTCAGACGTGATTTCTCGGTTGCTTCTCTTGGCTGTGTCATTTGTTCCCACATGAACAAGAAGGAAGGTTCCGGATTAACCTTCGCTATGCGAAAACATCGTAAAATGGATCAAAAAAACCCATTGGAACTCATTAAACAAAGTTTAATGCGTTCCAAATGGGCCCAAAACTCCCCATTCTCCAATGTTTTCCCTTGTTCCAGCAGCCATCTTGGGTGTACGGGCAGCCATTTTGAGCGGACCGGCACCCATTTTTTTGTGTTCCGGCGGCCATTTTGGAACCGCTGAACAGCTGTTCCCCCATCGTAATGCGAGCATGCCCTCGCATTAGCGATGGGGAAATCTGCATCGCAATGCGGATTCATCGTTCAACAGTGCACTCGTTATACGAGGCACCACTGTATATATTTCTAGGTTTTATGAGTGATGGCAATCCTTCCATCACATCCCTTATCCATCCTCCAGGGAGACAGCATACCTGGTGAGTCCATGGATCCTCCTGCCAAATTTCAGTCTCAATTCCACGTAGTAGGGAGTCCCCTACTACAACTACTCTCCTCTTCTTCTTTTTGTAGGGTGTGGGTTCAGTGACTGTATTCTGTTGTGCATTTAATATTACAGGATGCAGATATCTTTCACCTGTTGGCTTACATCAGACCTGCAGAAGTTGCAGCTCACTAAGGCAAAAATCTTTCTACCAGCAATATGTGGCCTACTAGGCAATTTGATGGACTTCCTGTATTTGCTACTGCCTGATATTCCAAAATATAGACAAATGTCAAGCATAAGGCAGGCATACTGGATAGGAGTGACATACTGCAAGGACCTGAATTCAATTGTTAATCCCAACTAAAGCAGATGTACTGAATCAGTGTTATTTATTTATTTATTTAAAATATTTTTTACCCTGACTTTCTCCATAAAAAAATGGAGCTTACATCAAAATGGATTACATCCTTAAAAGAGATAGCTAAATACAATAAATTATTTAAATAATTATAAAAAATAAATATGCATTATTAATGAAAATGTTCAAGGAAAGAATTATTAAAACAGGTTAAAATAACAAAATATCAATCATCCCAATTTTAAAACCCAATGAAGTCAGTAAGGGAAAGGTTTCACCTTTCAAAGCTTATGCAATGACAGCAAAGATGAGGCCAGCCTGTCCTCCCATCAGAAGGAGTTACTTAGATACTGTTAAATTGCAACTACACTAGTTGGCACTAATAGAATCTAGCTGTGAATAAATTAAGGGAATTAGAGCAATGTGTGGCACAATTGATTTATATTCTGGCATGTAAGAGAAAAAACATCACTGACAGAAAATATGGAATTGACATACAGTTACAAATTTTACATATATTCTCTCTCTCTCTCTCTCTCTCTCTCTCTCTCTCTCTCTCTCTCTCTCTCTCTCTCTCTCTCTCTCTCTCTCTCTCTCACACACACACACACACACACACACACTCACATACAGATAATGTTAGCATGACGACAGTACCTTCAACACCAACACTGAACTCATGTTTTGCTTCTCCCAGAGCATTTCTGGCAATACACTCATAAATCCCGGCATCATCAGCAGTGACTTGTTCTATCTTCAATAGCTTCCCATAATTCTCAGTGACTCCTCTGTCAACTCTGCCTCTGTCAGCCCTTCGCCACATTAGATGTGGTGTTGGACTGTTGGGAGAAAAGAAAATAAGAAGCAAGATTTATGTTTAAAATGTTACTTTGTTCCCCCTTCTCCAATAAAGCACCTGGACAGCTTATGTAGTTCAGAGTTTATGCATTCATCTTTTTCCATCATATTCCTGACTCCTGTAAATCACTTGTCTATACATACATAGTCATAGACATGCTTCCAGTAAAAGCACAAATAAGAACTGTACTGCTTCTAATGTGTGTTGCTTCATCTTTAAATGGCCAGAAGTGTGTAAAAGATCACTTAATGCCAACAGAGGATAAAGAAACTGATTAGAATATTGCAATGATTGTAGTATGTACATAGGTAGAGACACTTGTTTCATCTCATTCCACAATGGTTTTCTCAGTCATAAATGCACTTAAACATTTCTCTGTGATGACGCCAATCAATTCTGTGCTTGCCCAGCCAGAACTAATTCTCTAGGCAACTCAATACAGAGGTGACTTTGTTTTTTACAGAATTAATGGGGCACTCTCAAAACCAGACAGACAGAAGTTCAGGGCAGCCTGCTAAGTTAACATCCCAGCTGGCTTTCTTGATGCCAACACTGAACATGGAACGTATGGATGAAAGTCCTGTCTGTTTACTCCGTCCATCTGTTGAGATGGCAATGTGCCGAGACTCAGGTTCCTTTCAGTCCAGGTTCCTCAAAGTCATCACTGCTTTCCATTGGCAGAATATTGATGCTACCTACGGCATTTCTCTTCAACAGGAGATAATTTCCTCAGTCTTTTTTTCCCTGAAATGTCAGCAGGAGGAAATTATCTTCACATATTTTCTTAAAAGTAACGTATGTCAAAGCTTCATCTTGTCAAACTCTTTGTTGTTATTTGGCAACTTCAAAATGGAAAGTACATTTGGCAATATCTCTCTATGTAGTCTTCAACCACTGTCATCATCAACAACAATTAAGATCAGATTTTGATCTATTCTTCCTCGGCTCCAAGGTTCTAAATCAATGGTTCCCAACCTTGGATCTCTGGATATTCTTGGACTGCAACTCTCAGACATCCTGGACAGCACAGTTAATGGTGAAGGCTTCTGGGAGATTGAGTTCAAGAACATCTGGGGGCTCAAGGTTGGGAACCATTATTCCAAACAAAGCAGCTTGCTTCATTATGTCGGACAACATTCGAAATGAAGCAGCTTGCTTCATTATGTCGGACAACAGATCTGACCTGCCTCAAGTATAATACATGCTTAATTCATACATGCACTGTCTGGAAGTTACACTTTCTACTTATCCTTTTATTTTTTAAAAAAGGAAAATTAAAAAAAAAAAACCAAGCAGACTCACAGTCCTTCAGCAATGCATTCCAGAAATAAATCAGTTCCTTTCATGACAGTCACTTCCGAACGATGGCCAGAAGTTTCAGGGATAACTAGTCTCGGCTTTCTTTCTTTGAACAAATTTGCTGAAAAGGCAGGGGGGAAAAAGCTCTTGAAATAAGATGATCTAAATTCTTCTTAATGTTATCCATCTCATAACCTTTAAAATCTTATTGTTAATTTTTTTGTGGCTTATGTATTAAAAATAGACTGGATCTGTCATAATTTCTCACTTATGTTTGAATATGTGTTGGGACATACACATCTAACCACTAAAAGCTATATACCACAATGTATAGTTTTAATATAAAGATACATTTTAGGAACATGTAATTTTCAATTTTTGCCGTAAACCAGATATCTGCTGCAGCACAGGTGAGTTCTCATTAGGTACCACCTTTACTATCAGTGCAAGCAAAAAGTGACAGCAGAATTTTATGACATGGTGGGCTCCTGCTCTGGTGTTCCTGTTCTGTACACACTTTTTTTTTGTAAGGAGATGAGGAAGGAGATGAAGTCAGGGAAATGATGTATCATGGATTATAGCTTTGGGGTTGGAAAACAGCATTGTTCTTCCAGACTTCAGGGTTTCCCTATTATCCTATGTGCAGACCAGTTTGGATATCTCAAGGCTGCCCAAGACAGTCCCAGTTTGTGTAAAGAGGGTAAAAATGTCTATGCAGACAAATCAGGCACACATTGAGAGAAGTTTTAGCTCAGGATTGAGACCAGCACTGCAGTAGTTACAGTACACAAAGGCAAGACACAAGCCCTTTGCCATTCTTTGCAGAGGTAGCAGATCCCTGGAGTGTCTTGTCCACCTTTCATCACTGCATAGCTAATCAGTCATTTTCTGGGAGGAGTTACAGAGCAGATTGCTGTGCTCCTGCTGCTAATAATGGTGAGAAAGCAGCAATTTTGCTCAGGATTCCTGTGGATATGGGTGGCTTGTGAACCAAACAGGGAGACAATTAACTCTCAAATTGCAAGTTAACAATCTTCTCTGTTTAGTAACAAGCTGTCTCTGAATGTTGCCCATTCTGCTGAAGAACTCCAGCAATTTATGAATCATTTTAGTAAGGCCTGCCAAGATTTTGGATTAACAATCAGCCTGAAGAAAACACAAGTCATGGGCCAGGGCACGGACTCCCCTCTATTACCATCTCTACACAAGAATTGGAGGTTGTTCATGATTTCATGTACCTTGGCTCAACGATTTCTGACACTCTATCCCTAGATGTTGATCTGGATAAAAGCATTGGCAAAGCAGTTACCATGTTCTCTAGACTCACAAAGAGAGTATGGGTTAATAGGAAGCAAGATCCAGGTCAATAACCCTGAGTACACTCCTATACTGCAGTAAGTCCTGGACCCTTTGCGCATGGCAGGAGAGGAAGTTGAACACGTTCCATATGTGTTGTCTCTGACACATTTTTAGTATCACCTGGCAGGACAAAGTTCCAAGAGTAGAGTAGTCCTAGAATGAGCTGGAATTTTTAGCATGTATACATTACTGAAACAGCGATGTCTACGTTGGCTTGGGCGTGTCGTGAGAATTGCTGATGGTCAGATTCTAAAAGATCTCCTGTAGTGAGAATTAGTGCAGGGAAATCACCCCAGAGGGAGGCCTCAGCTGCAATACAAGGGCATCTGCAAGCGGGATCTGAAGGCCTTAGAAATGGACCTCAACAGATGGGAAACTTTGATATCTGCACATTCAGCCTGGATGCAGGTGGTGCAGGATGGCCTTTCCCAATTTGAAGAGGCACTTGTTCAGCAGGCCGAGGCAAAGAGGCAGTCCTGAAAATCAGGGAGCAGGATAGGGGACAGGTTGTATTTGTCTTCAGTGTGGAAGGGATTGTTACTCTCGAATTGGCCTTCTCTGCTACACTAGAGGCTGTTCAAAGACCTCTATTCAGATCATGTTACCAAAGTCTCTTGAGACTGAAGGGTGCCTCTAATGTGTCTCTGAATCTCCATGCCTCAAATGATCCTGACACAGACATCTATTTCTTACTGCTAGCAGCAGTAAGGAAACAGCAGTCTGAATATCCACAAGACCACATCACATCCTTTGATCCCAGGGAGAGGAGTTTAAATCACTTCCTCCCTGCATGCTGAGATATCTGTGCCCTTATGTAGGTGACATGTATCAATCCAGTCTAAAAAATCTGCCCAGAGTTGGTCAGAGTTCTTGGCGAGAAAGAATCAGATTATTATCCCTACTCGCTGAAGAGGCTCTTAATGGGCCATTCACCTTTGACCAGTTATTGCCTCTCAATATAAGGTGTATCACAGAGATGTTGTAAGGACAAACTGAGCACAGGAAGAACCCTCCCTAGACTCCTTAGTACCAAAAGGGATTGTTCTGTCTCCTGCAGAGGTGGCTTCATCCTATTTGGCAACATATTATCTGAAGACCAAAGGCTAAACGAATTACTAGTATTTATATTTCTGTTTACCAAGTGCAATAATGTTGTAATGTTTATGTAATAAAGCCTTCAAGAATACAATAATGTTGTTGTTTTTGTTTTAAGGTTGACTCTAGTTAGTAACTGTTATTTCATCAGGTCAAAGTATTTCATTTCGTCAAAATTCTTATTATAGGTATTGCAGTCTCAAATGCTAAATGATTACCACTTACCCTTAGCAGCACTAGGTGAACTGGAATCATTAGTATACTTTGCTGAAATAAACAAAAATGGAAACCAAATGGAAACATGAATGATGGTGACATTTATTAACGAGCTGATGGAAGTAATCAAAGAAAATAAAGACTGCAAAATCATTTCTGAGTTGGGCTTTCTTTCTATCTTGCCTAAAATAATGCATGACCTACCCACGCTGCACCACATTACACATGCATTTGACATTCTCCCCACTGGATATAGGGTGAAGAGGAATAAACATTTAGGTAAAAAATGGATGAAACAAGCAAGATTTAAATCCCCTGCATGTCTCCCAAGGTCATGATTGGATCATCCTCTTTTAAAACAACTTCTAACACAATGATCAAACATAGCCATGCAATACAGGGGTGATCTGAAGTTGGGAGACTCAATGAAATCTGTAGGCATAAGCTGCCCAATACTGAATCAATACAAGGATGTGCAGTGACGATGAACTGATGTGCATACAATGTAAACACAGAAAAGATGTCTAATTCAAAGAAATTTACATGAATCTGTGTTATCAAGCTAAATTGGCCAATTAGGAAACAGATCCCTGTACACAACATCACTCCTGAAATGACAAACTTCGGGTTGGCTCCCAAGATGCAAAACTCCTTCCAGACTTTCATGGTCAAACAATATATCACACCTGGTATGGAATTAGAATCAGAAACCATATTAATGCTCTAAGGGGGGGGGGGTTCCCAGCACAGCTTTGGGTCTGAGCAATCATACTTTCAAAATAAAGCCTGTTGTTTAATCCCCACAACAAGAAATCACAAAAATAGGGAAGCTAATCTCCAGATTAGATAAGATTATATGAGCTTTAAAAAAAAGCTTTGCATCTTCTTCTGTTTCTCCCTTTGCATAGGTAGTTTTCAATTCATTGACAAGTAGTTTGATCCTGTAGCAACTTAAGTGAAGTATATAAGCAATATGCTTTGGTTTGATCCCAGCAATTACACATGCTGGAATCATACAAAGAAGCAGAAGCAAAAGGGAAATGTGCTGCTTAGATACTACTCCCCAATGCTTAGAGCACTCTCTGGGCAGTTTACAATTTAATTATGCAGGCTACACACTATACCCCCAGGGATTCTCAATTTACCAATTTCAGAAGAATGAAAGGCTGAGTGAACCAAGATTTCAACCCAGGTTATGAGCAGAGTTTTGGCTGCAGTCCTGCAGTTTAACTGCTGCACTATGAGGGTTCCTAAAACTTAGTGATCCTAACTGCACAAGAATGAAAGGAAACAAAACAAAACAGTAGCCCACAACAGGGACCTAAAACAGGTTTGATTAGGCATGGATAAGGGATGGATTATTCACAAATGGCTTTATATCATCGTTGCCATGAAAAGAAATGAACCAGCCCGTTCCCAAAGAGGACCAAGCCACAGGAGAAAGCCCAGTTTAGAAAGATCCAGTGTGATAGCAAACATTTTGAATTGGTACTATAGTGGTAAATGAAACAGCACAGAAAAACTCTCAGCAGGACCTACCTCACTAGAAAATCATTCCATATCCTGATCTTACATTGCCATTTTAGCTGTGTGTTATTTTGTGAACACAAAGGTATGGTTTTCATATAACAAATGCTATTGATTATGCAAACATATTGATGACATGCAACCTGAGGAACATTTATGTGCCAATGTAGCAAAGACATTCAGCAATGCAAGAACCTCCCACAGAGCTGCCTTTTTGTACTTAAAGGGGAATGGACCATTTTGGTGGCTTCTGTAAGGAGGCTGATTTCCATCACACATCATTATCAGATTTTTATCAACACAAAGGGCACAAGAACAACAGAGGAACTCTGGAGGCCCAACAGCTGCAGATGTGGGCGTAGTTCTTATGCCAAAGATAATAGTGCAGGAATAAATGTATTAACATATATTTTCCTCTGCTTAAAAAGTCTTTTGAGAAACCCAAGACACACAGAAGACTTTCAAATGAGTTGATGGTTTCAGAGTAGACATTGGGGCAAAGGAAAGAAGGGAGGAAACATGAAGGGGGAAAGGGGAAAGGAAGTCCCAAACTTACAACGTGAAACTGTCAGTGTCATTGGCATTTTCTGTACAATAGTTCTGAGTCTTGGAAATGCAGCAAAGCAGCAATAATCACTCCGGCTGTCATTTTCTTCTACATTCGCAAAGAAAAGATCTCCCTTAAGGCTCATGGAGACCCTTTCATCTTGCGGTATATGCTGCAAATCTAGAAAGGAAAAAAATAATAATGTAATGATGATATGGTAATGATTCCCTCCCCCTCCCTCCCTCCC